TCTATAATATATCAAATTAATATATTACCTAGTATTAGATAGATAGATAGATAGATAGATAGATAATTTGGTTTTATTAAAATCATTCAAATCTTTCTTAAAATCACTAGCAGCGAAGGTAGTAGTGACCTGTCAACTGTCATAGTTATTGTACGTAACATGGGTACATGTAAAGTACATGTAAAGTAGGTGATATGTCAAGTTCAAGTCTAGTTTCAAGTTTAGTGTTGACGTTGAAAATCACTCGACTCAGCCAGCCAAAATATACTATGGACTTCTATGGATAAACTTCATGTACATTCCCTCAGTTTGACCTGTAGGGAGCTCTTCCTTTAGTTTTTTTTTTAGTTTTTTTGGATGAACATCATGGTGTTATAATATTCAGAGAATTTAGAGCCAGAATTAAAAATCCTCACTATGAGGTCATTATCTGTGTTGAGGAAGGAGCTGAAAAGACCAGTTTAGGCTAGTCTGAATTTCCAACTTAGGTATTTAAACTAGCTGTTTTTAAGCCTGGTAGGTACACCAACGTACCAGCAACCCCTGTTGAGAACTAGCAGACTCACAATGTACATATTAATCATTTCTGATTTCCAACTTTCTGAATTAACAAAGAAACACATTCTAGTATGCATTAGTATAGAAAAGGTAAAAGTGAATTGTGTGCGAGAGGGGGAATAGGAACCGAGGGGAGTGGTCTGTCCAGGCTACAGGCTCGAGAGAAGAACTAGCCAATAGCTGAGAAAACTCAACAAAAGGCCATCTCTATCCATTGTGCTAGTGCTGGATTTCCCACGAGAGGCCCGTCTGCTTGAAAAGGGGAGTGTATCAGTTTCTCCTGACATGGATGTTTATTCATTCTGTGGCCAACTGCACTGCCAGCTCAAAAGGATTCACCTTACCGTTTTGATGTGTATGAACACACACACTTTTTGGGGGGAGATAGGTGAAAAAGAAAAACACTGGCACATGGAGAGACTAGTGTGAGCTGTGTGAATAGGCATGTCCGCCCTCACAGTGACAGTGTTTGTGACAGTATCATGGTTACTTGTCTGGACTTAGCTTTTGGTGTGAAGTGAGCCACCATTTTGTAGTGCAGGATTTCAGAATCCTGTTGGAAGTAAACCTTTACTGCTGATTCCATTGAACTACTAAGTTGTTTGTAGTTAGCAGTGTTGCAGCAGCAGGTTCAGATTAAGATATAATTATGATTATACCCTTAGTGATATTCAGTTATTTGTGAGTTGAGTTAAATATGTATGGATTTTGGACTTTCTAATCATGCCAATTTTCTACATGTAACATTTAATTGCATTGAATAGCAAAATAGTGTTTTACAAAATATCAAAATAGTGTCAAACCATTTCTGATGACAACTTCCCAACTTCCTGTAAACTGTTGATTTAAAAAATCCAATTCATTCAAGATATTCAATTTATTCAACATTTCCTTGGAAGCAAACCCATGACCTTGAGGTTGCTAGCATCATGTGAGCTACAGGGACTTGAGGGACCTGACAAAAGGCCAACATCTGCTAGTTATTATTGACAGAAATTTTCTTCTAATCAGATTTGTCAGACTGTTCTTTAATACGCATAGGCTAACAGTGCTTCCTTTAGTAAAGATCATATTTCTTCAAGGGGACTGTCCAATTCAATGGACTAGTTGTTTTGGGTAAAACATCTTCCAGTTGAGTTTTTGTTGGTAGAGGAGAAGTGGTCCAAGAACTGAGCCCTGAGGTACCCCAGTAGCTAGATGTTGCGACTTGGACACCTCACCTCTCCAAGATACCTTGAAGGACCTATCTGAGAGTTAAGACTCAAACCACTGGCGTGCGGTTCCTGAGATGCCATTTTCCAATAGGGTTGACAGGAGAATCTGGTGGTTTACCGTATCAAAAGCAGCAGACAGATCTAGCAATATAAGTATAGAAGATTTGGAAGCCGCTCTTGCCAGTCTTAGGGCTTCAACAACTTAAAGCAAGGCAGTCTCGGTCGAATGTCCACTTCTGAAGCCAGATTGGTTGCTGTCCAGGAGGTTGTTCTGTGTGAGAAAGGCTGAGACTTGGTTGAACACAACTCGTTCAAGTGTTTTTGCAATGAAAGGTAGAAGGGAAACCGGTCTGTAGTTCTCTAAAAGAGTTGGGTTAAGAGTGGGTTTCTTAAGAAGTTGAAGAACTAAATGTTGAGGGAAAAACACCAGTGGGAAGGGATGTGTTAACGATGTGAGTGAGTGCAGGTACAACAGCAGGAGAAATGGTTTGAAGGAGAATGCTATGCAAACTAGCATGGCTTTATTACCATGCTAGTTTGTTAAAGCCTATCCACATATTTGCCCTGGAGTTGCTTGGTTTCGCAGCAGGTGTGTCTGTCAGCCGGCAAAATCATGGTCTTTAGCGTGAAAGCATAGAGGCCGCTGTCTCTCAGCCTGAGTGCTAGCAAACTGTCAGAAATCACGTTTTAGTGGCTTGTTCAGGTCACACTGAGAGAGCAGCCTCTTGTTCCTTACTGTCTCCTTTCTTTCTTTCTTTCTTTCCACATATTTGCCCTGGAGTTGCTTGGTTTCGCAGCAGGTGTGTCTGTCAGCCGGCAAAATCATGGTCTTTAGCGTGAAAGCATAGAGGCCGCTGTCTCTCAGCCTGAGTGCTAGCAAACTGTCAGAAATCACGTTTCAGTGGCTTGTTCAGGTCACACTGAGAGAGCAGCCTCTTGTTCCTTACTGTCTCCTTTCTTTCTTTCTTTCTTTCCTTCCTTCCTTCCTTCCTTCCTGTTTTGCTGCCCACATTTGCCAGCGTATATGAAAATAATGCATACTTTATTCTATTTTGACCTCTTTGTATTTTTTATTTTATTTTATTAGACTTCTACTGATAAATGGTCATGAATTTATCCATATCAGCTGATTTGTTTGTAGTAAAGCTTATCATTCTGTTGGTGGTAAACAAGAGCTAGATTACATCCTTCCTTTAGCAAAGCATTGCTATCAGTAAAAGCATCCACCAGCACAAGGGAAGACAGACATGCAGACACCATCATCACATTATACAAGATCTTATTGTCTGGCCAGCTGCTTTGCCTTGCGTGGCATGATTTGTGGGTAGCCATCTGTGCTCAGCCTCTTTTGAATGTGAGAAAGAACATATGCATTTGCATGAGAATAATTGACACTTCAAATTAGCCCTCCAATCACAAAGGTTTATTTTTAGTGTATGGGTAAGTAGAGGCTCTTCCATTCTGGGGAGAGAAATTATGATAAGAGATGAAGATACTAGGAAATCAAACCTGCAACAATATGTATTATAATTATTGTTGTTGATGATGTTATCATATACTGAATTGTTAAATAACAAATAAATATGTACAAATAAACAATGCATACAAATACATTTCCTTTATTTACAATAAAAAATGCATTATATATAATGTATAATGTATATCGCCATGAATATAGCTGAGGTAGCTCGCATGGCGTTAAATCATAAACAAACAAACATATATAATGTATATAAATAATAATATCAGATGTTGTTTAAAAATATTGTTTAATAATATAGCAATATATATTCCACTTCTGTAACTGATTATAGCCAACTTGAGACAGAGTTCTTTAGAGTAATGATTTAAAACATTGAGCCGCCTGATTAATTTTAATATAAACATCAGACAGCGTTTGTAGATCACATGTGCTGGAGTGTGTGTGTTTCAGTATGTTTGTGGACTCACATACTTGCTCTGTAAGTGGATGTGGTAGTGCATATGTAATGTTGTAGTGGAGAGAGAAAAACTGAACAAGAACACTGTTACATTATTGAAAACAGTTAATGAAATGAATCCATTTCTAGATGAACAGATGGATAAACTGTACATGTCCCTGGATACCCAGAAAAGCACACAGAGATCTATACACACACAGAAAATATTTCATGGATAAATATGAACTACTTAATATCTAATTAGAGTGTCAAAACTGAGAAGATTTATGAAATTTATAAAAAATTTGAAAATATTGCACCACTTTGGTGAATAGGTTTTCACACAGTGCTAAATGTATTTATCTAGATTTAGCCGTTTCTGAAAGGCCCTACGACAGGGCTGCCCCTGCTCCATTGGGTTAGCCGTTGGAAGACAGGGTTGGTTTTGCCCACTCTTAGATGGCCATGAATTAATTTACACACATATGAAAGGAGAGGAGCCCCTGGCGAAGAGATATTTGTGCTGTCTGGTGTCAGATACCAAGATGGGGGTGTGTTTGTGTGTACATGGATGCTCGGCCTCACCCATCTTGCCTGGTGGAAGAGCATAGGTTTATCCTGGTCTCCATGGCAACACTACAGGATGCCAGGGCCGTACCAAAGCGTGGGTACCCAGGGCAAAGCGCTTGATTCGGCGGGACAAGAAACGAGAGTGATAATGTGCATTAGTTGCATTAAATAGTAGTAGGATAAACATTTCAAGGTTGAATGGAGAAACGTCCTGGTCAGGGACGATATTTGTTTAACATTTTTATATTCCTATGACCTGTAGTCACACATGTATTTATTCTCACATCAACACAAGAAAGCACTGACTTTCACACAACGTGGGACTCAACTAAACCACAGACTTCTCCAGGTTATGATTCGCCTTCAAACACCGAGGCAGATATGTGGAGCATATATTTTTAACCTGAGCCAAATGTGCTTTTTGCAGAGGGGTTAAAAGGGCGAATGAAAAATTCTGTAAATTATTTATAATAGCTGAAACTCTTTTAGTGTTCCTCTGTTGGGTTGGTAGTGAGACTGTGCACTGGAATGTCCTTTACTTATACATTGTCAGATATGTGTTGAGGAGGTGCTTTTATCTACACCAACAAAAGAGCTGTAGGTGGAGGAAGAAGTAGGGCACGTCATTTACTTTAGGTCAGAAAGGAGCAGAGAGATTTTGACGGGTTTAACTAGACATATAGAAGCAGTTCATTCAAACATGACACTAATTATTGTGTTTTTTTTTCTTCCCTTCTAGTGATGCTTCTGAGGACGTGCGTTGCTCTTTGAAGTGAGGAAGGAAGGTTAGTAGATTGTTTCGTTATTTATGTCACATAAAATGAGGGGTCATGTCTGAGGTTAAGAAGTGGTCACAGAGGGACAAAAACAATTCACCAGTTAAAGCTGGTTGATGTGAATCAAAGAAAAAAGTAAAAAAATCACTCATTTGCACTCTTTAAAACCCTTTGACTAGGAAGCAAAGACATGAAGAAACAAAGCTTCTGGTTTGCTGGTTAACTTTCAGCCTGGCCAAGCTGGTGTTTCCCAAAGTGAGGTTTATGAGTGAACTTTGGGAAACACCTATTATTGTCCCTTTTATCAGTAGTATTTAGTGATCAGGTCAAGTTTTTGACTATTTAGCGCACTAATTTAATATGTAGGTGATAGTTTTTGAGATCTATAGATGATGTTGCTCTTTTCATTCAGGACAGCAGTGTGGTTGAATCAAGCAGGAGTGGTTAGCGCACACTGGATTGAGTCGCAGGGTTCAGTTCTGGAAAAGAGTGGCTCAAGCACCTCTTTCATTGCTCAGAGAAATAATGTGCGGTCGGAGAAGAATCTGACACAGATAGGGTGATGAATTCTGCAGAGTCAGTAAAAGCAAAGTGATGCTGAAAAACACATCTGTGCCGATCTTGGACCACACTTCAAAGGCACATGCTTCTCCTGAGGCAGCTGTATGTAGCAAGCACTTTTAATTTATTCCTCTGGGCTGAAGTACTTTTTGTTGTTGTCTTGATTTTTGTATTTAATTATTAACTTTCTGGGACACGAGATTTAGAATGGAGATGGCTGGATGAGACAAATCTAACAAGCCTCTGAAGAAAGTGCTGGCAACATGACCGTAAGTGACGTCCACGATATACAGCTAACAGTATATGCACTGGCATAAAGGTCCTCTCCTCTCATGCTTGTTATCGCCTTCTAAGGTTTTAAGAAATATAATACTGTAATAACCAAAGAGAGAGAGAAAACTATAGGGGGTAAGTGGAATCGGATAAGTTATTCTCTTGCCCAACAGCAAACAAGAAATAATGAGGAGAGGCAGAAACACAGACCCTCCCAGACCTGTGTTCTTCACAACAAGAAAAAAACACACTCTTATCAGGTTATAAGGAGACGTGTAAGCAAAAACCATGCGAGAGGATGAGGAGGAACAAAAGTGAAGACAAGAACATGTCGGACACTCTATTGTTTTCCTCTTTGTTAGCGAACAGTACATGAAGATTTTTGAGAACTTGGCAATCTTTTTGTCAGTCATGTACTGTACCTTGATAATGGCTTAGACTCGAAGTGATTCTCCTGATTCATGTTTCATAATGAGGCACGGTTTAGTTTCCTTTTGTTGAAGAATCGAAGGCCTGTTGAGAAGTCGAACTCCTGGTCGGTGGAAGGAGTTGTGGAAGTGAGAAGTGTCCATTTCATCTAAGATGATGTTTCAGGATGTGAGTCAGATCTCAAAGGCAATGAAATTTAAAGCATCATTTCATCTTTGTGCGTGCATTGTGCTGGTTTGTTTTTATTGCCAACTTGAAACACAGAAACGGGGGAAAACAATGGGCCCACAATGGCGCCTGAGTGAAGAAGTGCCTACGATGAGGTTTCATTTCAGATGAAAGATCTTGAGAGCAGCAGTCAGAGGGCCATCCCGGGTCTATTAGCGCCAAACCATTTCAGAATTCAACTTATGAATGTGCACTTCAAGTCTGACAGGGCAATAGAGACAGTTCGTTTTGCTACAATCCTCCATTTTTTATTTCTCATTGATCTGTTCTCCTCAAACTGTACAGTTGGAATAAGTGTGTATCTGTATGCCTGCCGACAGACAGCCTGGAATATTGGGAATGTCAGAATCCCTCCTAGTGCTAGACAACTTTTAATAAAACTGGCAAGCTGTGTGGACAACTGTGTGATGCTTATGAGGACTCTTCCCTTGTGCCTTGTTGTTGCAGAACTAATTGTATGTATAGGAAAGTTGAGCATAATTATTAAAGTAATTGAGAAAAGTAACTTTCTCGTCTGAAATAATAATGCTTAATTTTGTTTATATGAAAATGAATAATACATTTAACTTATTGAACACTGGTTCAGTTAAAAACACTGTTAACGCCTGGCCTTTCATGGTTTTAATAACATAGCATTGTACAAGCATAAGAAAGTATAAAAGTGCGAGATAACAAGTGCAAAACTAATAACATTAGTTCTGATGACATGAATGCAAAACGAGACTCAGCCTAATTTTTTGTAAAGGCATTAAAACAACTGTGTGTCAGTGTGTAATTTTTACGGAATTGAATTCAATTTTAACTTTAAACTCCTCATGTTTAGTAATGTTTAATGTAACATTTCTGTGTGTAATGTAGGTCTAAATGACTATCTGTTCTAAAGTGTTCTTCTCTCTGCTGCAGGTTGAGAGAGCTCTCTCCAGCACATGCCTCCCTCATTAGTGTCCAGCAGCTGAAGACTCGAGGTCACAAACCCAATGAGCTGCCCATTTCATTCAGCTTTGCCGACATGGAAAGATGACCACTGTGACCTAATGTTGTAGTACAGTCTGACAGCACATTGTACACAACATACAAAGTAGCTTGAATAACCCTTGAATCTTGTGTGGAGTGCATTATTTTTTATGAAATTGCTGTAGTGTCCAACTTTTCAGCATGCTTGTTGATTTTATTCATTCAATAAATTGTGCATTTTTCTAAAAGAAAGGGAACAGGTCTTGTGATTTATTTGCTGAACTGTGGGTGATGAAATATTTAATATTCTGGGTATTAAAATGATCAGTCTCGGATCTGTTGAGAGGGTTGACATGGTTGAATCAGTGCCACACTAAGGAACTGCTGCACAGGGAATTATTGCTTCAGTCTGAACATGTCACCTGATGTCCATTGTAAATCTATGATGACTGATGTTCCATCTTCAGTTATGAAACACGGTTTTAGAGTAGATCTTCCCAGAGCAATGGCACTGGCCGCTTCAACTCCACAGCACAATTGAATTGTCCATAAACACACAGAACCACAAAAAGCACCGCTAGCTTTGCTTTAGAATCACTTACGAATGATCCGAAATCAGACGCAAACAATGAAACTCAATATACTTTTTGTTGACATTTGAAATTTAGAGAAAATAAAATAAAGTGAGAGTGCTTTTAAGGCCAAAGAAAGTGACCTTGGTGAGGCCAGTGAGAGGTATATCTAACTTTAAAAACTCCATTACCTACTCCAGGACTTGCACTCTCTCTCTTTTCTTGCTTTAAGAAAGAGGAAAGTACTGTGCAGTATTTCACCTTTATCTCCCGATAGCAGGTCTTTGTGTTATCTTATTCTTATTGGAAAGAAGGGAGAAACAGGAAGGAGGGGAAAAGCCTCCAAGGCGCGATACACAACGCACTCCCCATGGATGGTGAGATACCAAACACTTCCTTTCCGAACTTTCCACACTTTCATGCTAAAGGAGATGAGAGCCAGTTGCATTGTAAAGGGAGCTTCTTTTGGATTTCTCTACAGACAAATAGAAGGATACATCTGAAAAGCAGAGCATATGCTGCTGCACGAGGTGTACACGCGCCTGTGCGTGTGCGTTTGCATATATGTACTCGCGCAGAGCCGGGCTGAATAGCACAAAGATAACTTTTAAAGAGAGAACTGTGACATATTCCCAGAGTGTCTGTCTGCCAGTCAGAATCCCCAAGCATGCTGGGTGATGTCCTCCAAAGCACAGATCTACCTGTGCAAGAGGCCCCTGTGACAGAACACATGCCTCACTGATTTTCACAGATGGGTTGCAGTGGCCTGTGAGGTTTCTCTCTCTCTCTCTCGCTTCAAACTGAGAATGACAAGTTTTGGGCCACAGTAAAACTGTAGCAGGTTTTAGTTCTTGTTTCTTTTTAGCCTGGCACCACAGTCTGAACACAATGGGTTTCACTCATAATACACAAGCACACACAATGTAATCCGCCTGTGAAATGTTACAACAATATGATGATTTACATTTACAAATGTTTTCCACAGAAATGTATGAGCAAGGTCCAAATGAAAATAATCTGATTATGTATTTTGTGTGGTGTCTTTGTGGTCAATGCCTGAGCTCAGACGCAAGGACAGTTCCTCACTCTGCATGTTTGCATTGATATGGTTGTTTATTGTTACAAAACCACATTTGGTGAGTGTAAAATGTTTATATTGGTCAATAAGAGGCTAGCTGAAGCCTTGCATCCTGTGATTTAGTTCTGGTTTGCTGAGTTCACTGCTGTCACATTTCCACTGTCTTTATGAGGACTGTGACAAGCCACACAAAATAACAGTAAAATGATAATCAACAGTTGAATTTCTGGAAAATAAGCAGTGAGGGGAGGCATGCAATTATAGTTTAACAAGTATAGGAAAGCATTATTTCGAAATATATGATAGAAACCTCATGTTTCTGACTTCAGTTTAGCATCACATATTCATCTCACAATTAAAAATAAGAAATACAGAAATGTCTGTGAATGGCTCAGGAAAGTGTTTTTTTTAAAATAATGACTTTGGACTCTATATAGCTGACATTAGTATCTGTATCTCATCTGGCTATCCCACTGCTCTGAGAGCCCCTTTCTTCTCCCAGCATGCCTTGAGGCAGTGTGGTTTAAACAAGTGGAGTGATTTTGCTTTTTAACTGATACAGAACCAACAGTCAAAGCATTATTGTTTCATGAGACCTAACAAAACTGATGGATGAAAGGCAGAAGCAGAGGGCAAGTTTATGTTGTTCTTTTTCTCCTGTAAAGATCATTTAAATTGCAAACTTTGAAATATGTTGCATAGAGTTGGGAAACCTCTTTAGACTCATGATTTCTGTTTGAAAAGGAACGAAAAATAGGAAAGGCATCAATAAGATTTTTAAACCAGATATTGGAGGGGTTTTGATTTGGTAATGACTGATTTCTAAGGCCAATTATATATTAAACAGTTGATTGAATTAAACATTGCTCCTTGTCTCATGAACACATGGCTATGCTTTCATTTAATAACGACTCTTGTTTCTCACACAAGGCAAGTGTAAGACTTGTAATACATATAATATAGACTTCTTTGGGCTACTTTTATGATACCTGTATGATGATTTTGCATCGTTTTTGAAGCTTAAAATATTCCATTTTCATTCACTGTAATTGCATGGAAAAGATCGACCAGTATAATTTTCAGAATTTTCTTTTTTGTGTTTCATGGAAGAAGGAATGTCACATGGGCTGAATAAAAATACAAAAGCAATCTATTTGACAAGGTAAAAGACAATAAATAACCTTTGTCAGTTGCTCTGGTATTTCTGCACAAGAAATGCATCATACATGCCTGAGACATTTGTTAATTAGCCTTTGTATGAGTAAAAATGCCCAATCTCGTATTACAATTAAAATCACTGTCCTTAAAACCCATTAGAGAATTGAAAATCATCTAAATTGAATGCATCATTCATACATGTATAATTGCAGTCCAAAATAATACCTAAAACCCTCTCACACTGTAGCCACTCCAAACTTATCCATGAGTGTCCCTGTCCATTATCCAGTGGGCTTATGACTGTGGATCAGCCAGACTACAGACTATTGCTGTCTCATTGAATTTAACAGCTATTTGATTCTATTCATGAGATGCAAACATTAATATGCAAAGAACAAATGACATCTCCCATAATCTAGAAACTCATTCTTCTACAAATCTGAGACTAATCTGAATTAATCTCTACACTCTAAAACATGCTGGGTTAAATATAACCCAGCGCTGGGTTAAAAAGGGACACACCCAACTTTTGGGTTGTTTTGACCCAGCTATTGGGTTGTTTTGACCCAGTGGTTGGGTTCAAAACAACCCAACCGCTGGGTCAAAACAACCCAATAGCTGGGTTTTTCCCTTTTTAACCCAGCGTTTTTTTAGAGTGTAAAATCTCACATACTTTAGATTGTGATTTTCAGGTTTTGAGTTGATATTTACAAATAAACGAAACTGCTGATTCTGTATCTCTGTCACCAGCCCATGTCCTAGGGTCAAGTTTCTCCATTCAGACAGGACATAGGGATCACAGGGGACTCACAAAGGAGGTCTGGTCTAGACAGAGTCCCCTCACCCAGTGCTCAGACCATGGTGGAGGTCCTTAGAGACCCATCCTTCATTTGTTTCCCTAGTCTTTCACTTCTTGCCTTGTCAGACACCAAATGTTGCCGGCTAAACTCACTGAAGCCTTCAACTTGAACTTCAGACATGTGTCCCTATCAAAAAAAAGTTACAGATTTTTTTTCCCAAGTGTGACATTTCAGAGTTAAATGTCACTTTGTGTGTTTGTGTGTGTGTGTGTGTGTGTGTGTGGATAGATAGATAGATAGATAGATAGATAGATAGATAGATAGATAGATAGACAGACAGACAGACAGACAGACAGACAGACAGACAGATAGACAGATAGATAGATAGATAGATAGATAGATAGATAGATAGATAGATAGATAGATAGATAGACAGATAGACAGATAGACAGATAGATAGATAGATAGATAGATAGATAGATAGATAGATAGATAGATAGATAGATAGATAGATAGACAGACAGACATAAAACATATAACTTATTAATTTTATTGTATTTATTTCATTTATTATTATTATTATTTGTTTAATTTTAATTTTATTTATTTATCTATTTATTTATTTATTTTGCAGCTGACTTTGTTAGAACATATCTGCTAAATACATAAATGTATACATCTTTACAGATGGATGTGGCCTTGCATAGAAGCTGAGTTACTGAACCCTAGAGGTCTCCACTTGCACACAGGCTCTCCACAAATCTGAAAGTGCTGTCCTATGGACAGTCTCACATTCATGTGCATGCACACATATGCTCACATATACAATTTAACCTGGATTCATTTGGAGGATTGAGTCATACACTACTGTATTTATGGGGTCTGAAGACAGAGCTGGAGCTTCACTGTTACTCATATACCGCAGTCTATGCTCTGATTCACACACACACACACACACATCGTCACTGCACTGACATCACCTTGACAAACACACCTAAACATGACATCACTTGCATTTGAGATAACATATTGGTAAGGGTCTCAAAATGTGTAAGAGAAAATGAAAAGGATTGAGATGCTATCAAAACGAAGTGAGGTTTTGAGGACGTTCATACAGCTAGCATGATAGAGAGCAAGAATCATTGCCGATGGTTAAAATAGATGTCAGACTTGTGTTGAATTGTTTTGCAAAAGCAACTTAAAAGCATCTTATACATTTTCCTTAGAGAGAGAGAGAGAGAGAGAGCAAAAAATACATTAACAACAATGCATCATTCAAATGTTTTTTTTTCAGGTTTGTTTCCCCAGAGTAAATAGCAACAAAATAAAATGCATTGCACTTTGATTTTCCTGATTAATTTCCCAGTGCCATGATGGCCATAAGTGATTGATTGTGATGTTATTTAAGTCATTGAAGTACAGAGGTACTACACTGCCACCAAACACACACGTACACACACTTCCAGCATTTCATTTGCACAGAAAACTATGAGCAACAGCTGGCTATCTGAACCGACTAAATAAAAAGAGAGAGCAAGCTTTGTGTTTGTGTGTGTGTGTGTGTGTGTGTGTGTGTGTGTGTGTGTGTGTGTGTGTGAAAGAGGACCAGAGGCTGTGAATGCCTCTCCTGAAGAGAGATGGAGTCATATTGAAAAGTTTATTAAATTACCCTGATTAACAATTTAGCCACGAATAGTAGTGTTGGAGGAGCTCTATGAGGAGGCCCTAGCGCCATTCAAACATCGAGCTGTGGGGTCAAAAGGTTCCTGAAGTTCACATG